CATTTTGCAGAGCTGCCCTAGGCCCAATACTGGTGGCAGATGTCCTCAGTTTGCAGCATGGCCTCTCCCATGTGCCTCCAGGATTAGTAGAGGCAGCAAACAACCAAGGATCGCTTTGTAGCTCCTACCAGGTAGACCCCAGCCTGTCACAGGCAGTGGGTGACGGGACCTGCACTGGAGCCTTTTGCAAGAGGCCCCAAACCAACATACTTGGAGGTTGGCTTCAGACCACAGCAGAGCACTGCCCAATTAGCCCCACAAGCAGCACATCCAAAGGACTGTCTCAACAGGCACCAGGACCCACTGGGGCAAATCCCACTTAGTGGGGCAAGCCCCCTGCACAGCAGCCTGTAAGCTGTGGACATGGCCAAACCCAGAGCCAGTAAGCCTAAGGCTCAATCCCACCCACTGACATGCCAAGAGCAATCAAGGCTCAACTCTAACAGGAGGGCACACACGATGCACACAGGGACAGTCTTGGAGCACCCAATGCAGGTGACCAAGGAGACTGTGCCACAGGCCGCATAAGGAACCTACTATATAAGGTCACCTGGCTACGACTGTGGGACATAGCAGATCTACCTAATATATAGAAATAGAGAGGCAGCCAAAAGGAGGAAACAAAGAACTACATCCCAAATGAAGAAGAGGAGAAAAATCCAGTACAAGAACTAAACAAAATTGGAGGCAAGCAATCTACCTGATACAGGGTTCAAAACAATGGTTATAAGGATGCTCAAAGAACCTAGTGAGAACTTCAACAAAGAGATAGCAAGCATAAAAAAGGACATAGAAACCATAAAAGAGAACCAATCAGAAGTGAAGAATACAATAACAAATGAAGAATGCACTAGAAGGAATCACCAGCAGACTAGATGAAGCAGAGGATCGAATCAGCCATTTGGAAGACAAGGTAGAAGAAAAATCCAAATGGAATAACAAAAAGAAAAAATAATTCAAAAGCATGAGGATAGTTTAAGAGACCTCTAGGGTAACATCAAGTGTAACAATATTCACATCATAGGGGTACAAGAAGGAGAAAAGAGAAAGAAAGCAAGGGATTGAGAACATATTTGAAGAAGCAATAACTGAAAACTTTCTTAACCTGGCAAAGGAAATAGACATACAAATCCAGGAAGTGCAGAGTCCCAAGCAAGATGAACCCAACTAGCCCACACCAAGACACATTGTAATTAGAATGGCAAAGGCTAAAGACAAAGAGAGAATCCTAAAAGCAGCAAGACAAAGGCAACTAGTAATTTATAAGAGAGCTTCCATAAGATTGTCAGCTGATTTCTCAACAGAAATTGTGCAGGACAGAAGGGATTGGTACAAAATATTTAATGTGGTGAAAATCAAGGACCTACAACCAAGATTACTCTATCTAGCAAGTCTATCATCTAGAATGGAAGGACAGATAGAGAGCTTTTCAGACAACAAAAAGCTAAAGGAGTTCATCACCACCAAATCAGTATTACAAGGAATGTTAGAGGGACTTCTTTAATATGAAAAAAAAAATCAAAATTACGAATAATAAAATAACAATAGCTCCATATCTATTAACAGTTACTTTCAATGTAAATGGATTAAATGCTCCACTCAAAAGACATAGGAGGGCTGAATGGATAAGAAAACCAGACCCTTACAATATGCTGCCACAAGAGACTCACACACAGATGAAAAGTAGAGGGATGGAAAAATATATTTAATGAAAATGGAAACAAACAAACAAAAAGCTGGAGTAGCAATACTTATACCAGATAAAATAGACTTTAAAACAAAAGCTATAACAAGAGACAAAGAAGGACCCAGTAATCCCACTTCAGGGTATTTATCTAAAGAAACCCAAATGCTATTTTGAGGGGGCGTGTGCATCCATATGTTCATTGCAGCATTATTTACAATGGTCAAGATATGAAGGCAGCCTGGGTGTCTGTCGATGGAAGAATAGATAAAGAAGAGGTGGTACATGTATACAATGGAATATTGCTTGGCCATAGAAGGGAATGGGTTCTTGCCATCTGCAGCAGCATGGATGGACCTGGAGGGTATTGTGCCGAGTGGTGTTTCAGACAAAAAAAGACAGATGCAATGTGATTTCACTTATATGTGGAATCTAAAGAACAAAATAGATGAACAAAACAGAAACAAACTCATAGATACAGAGAACATATTGATAATTGCCAAATGGGAGGGGCTTTGGGGTGTGGGTGAAAGAAGGTGAAGGGATTAAGAAGTACAAATTGGTTGTTACAGAGTAGTCATGGGGACGTAGGTATAGCATAAGGAATATAGTCAATAATATTGTAATAATTATGTATGGTGTCAGATGGGTACTAGATTTGTTGGGGTGATAGATGGGAGAGGAACAGGGGTAGGGTAAAAAAGGTGAAGGGATTGAGAAGTACAAATTGATAGCTACAATAATCATGGGGTGTAAAGTAAAGCATAGGGAATATAGTCAATGGTATGGTAATAACTATGTATAGTGCCAGGTGAGTATTAGACTAGTTAGGTGGATCACTTCTTAAATTATATAAATGTCTAACCACTATGCTGTACACCTAAAATTAATATAAATTAACATTGAATATCAACTGTAATTGAAAATTTTTTAAAGAGAGGAAAGGTGAAGGGGAATAAGAGGACCAAATTTCCAGGTATAAAACAAATAAGTCATAGGGATGTAATGTACATCATAGGGAATATAGTCAATAATATTGTAATAGCATAGTACATGCTATTACATAGTAGCATAGTAGGTGTAGCATAGTAGCATAGTAGGTGTCAGATGGTTGCTGGACTTATCATGGTGACCACTTATTTAAGTATATAAATGTTGAAGAACTATGGTGTACACCTGAAACTAATATAATATTGTATGTTAGCTATATTTTAATAAAAATCTTTAAAAAAAATTGTTTTAAGGGAATAGATTCAGTGACCTGTGGACCTAGGACACTGTTTAAGAGAAAAGATTCTCATTCAGTCAGAATGTCTAGGTTCAGGCAGGCTCAAAGTGTTCAGGTCACTCTACTGAGATTAAGAACAACTGGGATGGACTGCCATAAACTACCGTGTGTATTCGGCAGCCAGCGTGAGCGGCCGGCAGCCGGTGTGAGCTGCCAAGAGCCACTGTGAGTGGCCGTCCAGAGGCCGGCAACCGATCTGCCTCACCCAGGAAGCGTGCAATGATAATACCAACATGGGCCAGTGAAGCGACGTCCTCCACAACTAGACTGAAGAACAAAAGGACAGCAACTTGCCTGTTCCCCTCCCCCAATTCCCCAATAAAATCTTTAAAAAAAAGAACCACTGGCATGAGGCCCCTGGTCTCTCTCTACACATTTCTTCCTCAGAAAGATTGCTCAAGGAGCCCAGTTTTGACCAGTGATGAGTGACCAGTCCACCCCTCTGGTTATGATTCACCACCTGAGAGCTTCACCCCCTGAGTTTTGACCAAGGAACTACTTACAAATTAAATGCATACGTGCTGCTTTTCTGGTCACTTGGATTCCCCCAAGTTCAAGGTTTGGTTTTGTTTGGTTTATAAATGCCTTATCAAATGTCCTCCCCTTTATCAGCCTCTCTTCCAACAGTTTTTTCCAATGAGGAAGTTTTATTCCAAAATCACTTCACAGTGATTTCACAGAGCAGGAAATAATATATACTCTTTAGAGCATTTTCTTTTTCTTTTTTTTAACTTTATTGGGGAACAGTGTGTTTTTTCCAGGACCCATCAGCTGCAAGTCAAGTTGTTGTCCTTCAATCTTAGCTGTGGAGGGTGCAGCTCAGCTCCAAGTCCAGTCACTGTTTTCAATCTATTTGTGGAGGTCGCAGCTCACTGGCCCATGTGGGACTCGAACCGGCAACCTTGTTGCTCAGAGCTCGTGCTCTACCCAACCAAGCTATCTGGCTGCCCACTAGAGCATTTGCTTTTTTAATCAAAATGCTGTTTGATCACAACAATTAAAACTTGATGTTTGAGGAGAGTCCTAGCTGCCTAGCACTTTTGCTCCATTCCATTCAGTTATCTGTTAGAGTAAAGGTCACAGAGTTACAAAATTTGCAAGTTGAAATTATAGTTATTTATTTACCTGCTTCTCCCACCAGGTTGTGATCTCCTTGGGGACATCAATTGCCTCATTAAGATAAAATATCGTTAAAATTACCAGCGGTTTAGACTTATTTTGTAGGGGCCACATAAATGATTGTGGTTCAGTGGAATGCAACCCAGTCCTAACCCCACCTGTCCTGCTGACACAAGCTCTTCTTTCAGTTTTCACACTCTTCGTGATTTTTATTTATAGCAAAGCATTATTCCTCCCAGGCCACCTGAAGCAACTGGGAGCCCGCTTCCTCCCTCTCTTCCCCTTCCCATCCCACTGGGACAGTTTCATTGTCTTGATTCAGCTCTACCTGGTCTTGTGACCTCTGGGTCTTCCTGTTAAAGGAGGGCAAGGTTCAAGATTCTTTTCTCCAGCCGCCTCAGGCCCTAACATTATTATTGCTTTTTAATGACTGTGGAAAATGATTCTCTCCTTGGACTGCGTTCCCAGTTTTCTTCTTCATTTTCAAGTGAAAATCATCCTTTCAGGTTATTTTAGTCTCTGACAAATCTTTGCTGTGTGGCCCCTCCTTTCTGTCAATTCACTGAGACTCACCAGCCCCACATCAAGAAAACAATCAACACATTGTTCTAGCTTCAGATTGGATATGGAGTAAATGTTGGCATCACTTAGTTTTGTCAAATTGTCTCACCTTGTCTCTTCAAAACCAAATGGGAAAATCTAAGTCTTTTGGTTATTAAATCAGAGGGGTAACTCTTGGCCATACTGCATGTGTTGGCAGGGAAGGGGGTCTTATGCATGTGGGTGACAGAAAAAAGCGTGCACTAAGATGAATTGGTAGCCAACATAAATATTTAGAAACAGAAAGGCAATTATTAATATGTAAGCATAGTCTCCAGAGCTGTTTCAATGTGTTCTCCTCCTACACAGAAACCAAATGATCGTGATCACAAAGTGAGAATCGCCTTGGGAAATGGCTTGCGAGGAGATGTGTGGCGAGAATTCATCAAGAGATTCGGGGACATTCACATTTATGAGTTCTATGCTTCCACTGAAGGCAATATCGGCTTTACAAATTATACGAGAAAAATTGGTGCTGTTGGAAGAGTAAACTACCTACAGAGAGTAAGTATACTGAAAAATGAGAGCCTCTGTAGCCAGTTTTCAGAATATAGAGATTTCTTAAAAGCTGTGTCATGATGATATCAGGTTCATGCAACATCGGAGACATGGTCCATCCATATCACCAAGAGAGAGTTTACTCATTCTCAATGACAAGGACCTCAAAAAGATCGGGTGCTCTAATTGAAAAATCTTAATTTCTATGAATAACAACTCATTATGCCTTTGCCATCTTTAACTTAGGTGAAGTCTTCCTGATACCGTTTGTACTTGTATATGATAAAACACCTGAAGGTTGCCAGTTCCGTAAGTTTACCATAGACTGTGAAATGTGGTATTCCCCTTTCATCATGCTGTGGGTGATAACCACCTGGGGCACTTTTTATATGTACAGGTGCAGGGCCCCACCCCCTGAGCTTTGGATGCAGTTGTCCTGAGGCGGGGCCAGGTATCAGTGGTTTCTTTGAAAGCTCTGCAGCCAGGGGTAAGAAGCATTATCTAGACCTTTGAGAGAACGGGGATGTACCTTTTGAACATTTGTGTCCACCTAATAGCTACAGCAAAAAGATAGTTCTTAATTTTTTCATTGAGATATAATTGACATATAACTTTGTATTAGTTTCAGATGTATAACATGATTCGATATTGGTACATAGTGCGAAATGATCAATAAGTCTAGTAAACATCCATCACCGCAGTTACAATTTTTTTTCTTATGATGAGAGCTTCTAAGATCTCCTCTCTTAACTTTCGAATATACAGCACAGTATTATTCACTATATCCCCATGCTGTACATTACATCCCAGGACTTACTATATAACTGAAAGTTTGTACTTTTTAACCACTTTCACCTATTTCACCCTCCCCTCACTCCCCACCTTTGGTAACCACCAATCTGTTCTCTGAATCTATGCGTTTATTTTTTTTTAGATTCCACATATAAGTGAGATCATGTGGTATTTTGTCTTTCTCTGTCTGATTTATTTCACTTGGCATAATTCCCTCAAGGTCCATCTATGTTGTCACAAATAGCAAGATTTTTTTTCTTTTTTTTTTTGGCTGAATAGTATTCTATTGTGTATACCAATGATGCCAAAAAATGTATACAAGTGGACACTTTGCTCAACGTTGCTCAAGCAGTAGTTCGCCATAATCAGAAATGTCTGGATGCTGATGATAACCACTTTGAGCACCTCTTGTAATTGCAGAAGTCAAGCATGGCTTGTATTCATCTTTTGTTATTTGTATATATTCAGTATTACAATTTTAATAGTTTTTTCCTTTCTTAAAATGTGTATTCATTTTATGGCACCCTCTGTATACACCACATTTTCTTTATCCGTTCATCCATCAATGGACATTTAGGTTGCTTCCATGTCTTGGCTATTGTAAATAGTGCTGCAGTGAACATGGGGGTGCATATATCTTTTCAAATTAGCATTTTCATTTCCTCTGGATAAATACCCAAAAGTGGAATTGATGGATCATATGATAGTTCTATTTTTAATTTTATGAGGAACCTCCATACTGTTTTCCACAGCAGCTGCACCAATTTACATTCCCACCAGCAGTGCGCAAGAGTTCCCTTTTCTCTACCTCCTCACCAGTACTTATTGTTTGTTGATTTATTGAGAAAGCCATTCTAACAGGTGTGAGGTGATATCTCACTGTGGTTTTAATTTGCATTTCCCTGATGATTAGTGATATCAAGCACCTTTCATGTACCTGTTGGCCATCTGTATGTCTTCTTTGGAAAAATGTCGATTTAGATCCTTTGCCCATTTTTTTCACTGGATTGTTTGATTTTTGCTATTGAGTTGTATGAGTTCTTTATATATTTTGAATATTAACTCCTTATCAGACATATGCTTGATATTTCTTATTTTTAAGCCAGCTCACATAGAAGTCTCTTTTCCCTCTCAGTCATTTCATTGCCTGGGGTCTCCAGACAATCTCTTTGCCTTTTTTTTGTGCTCGAGCAGACAGATGACCACCTGCAAAATTCCAGGAATATTCAGCAAATGCTGAGCATCCACTGGCTTGAGCAGTCACTGCTGTCTTTGTGCCTCTGGCAGCCCATCCTGCCTGGCCACTAAACAGCCACCCCAGAACTCCCAAGTAACCTGTATCCCCAGGGAGTGACAGGCAGAGTACAGAGGGCAGTGATCCATCTGCACAAGTGATCTGGCTCTAGAGATCAAATACCAGCACCGTCACGTACTAGCTGAGTGACCTTAGACCTCAATTTTATCATCTATAAAACAGGTGAAAAGAGAAAATATAGAGCCCAGTGCCCAAACTCAGTGTTGATGAAGAAAAAGGATTGTTTCAAGGATTAAACATATCCCACTGCCTGTCAAATAATAGCCTTGAATAATTGTTAGCTGTAATGGTAGTTATCATTCCATTCTTTATACTCTGGCCTGGTCCCTAGGTATTCCCTCATCCAAGGAACCTCTCTGACAATGACACAGGTCCTTCCACTGTACTCCACACCTGTGCCATCCAATACGGTAACCATTAGCTAGGTGTGATAATCTAAATTTAAATGACATAAATAAACATTTTAATTCAGCTCTTTATTCACCCATGCCACATTTCAAGTGCTCTGTAGGAATTACCATGTTGAGCAGTGCAGATATAGAACATTTCCATCATCATAGAAAATTCGACGGGGCAGCACTGCTACAGACTGAGAATCCATTTCCTACTCCCCACTGGAACCATTGCAGAGAGAGTCAGTCTTCTCTAGGCAGCTTCAGTCCGACCCAGGCTAAATGCAGTTCAGAACAAGAGAGGGCACAAAGATGAGGTGAGGCATGGTGCAAGCTCTCTGTGGTTGTAACTACTGACCCTCAAAAAGATAAGTTACACAGTAACTTTTGTTTTAAAACAACCTGAGGACCTTAGAAGTTGGTGCTGTATATTACTAGTTCTTTGCATCTTATCCATTGATTGTCGTGTTTTATTGTCAGTTTTTCCAGTTTAAACAAAATTATATTTTAAAACTAAAAAAGGGGGAGAAGAAGATGGCCCTATAATTAATGCGGAAACTAACATTAGTTACAATCTGAATTTTTTTTTACATTCTTGCAAATAAAGAAGATCTACATTTGTTGACTATGAATGCTACTTGGTTTTTTAATGGTTACCCACTACTATCAAAGTACATGACTGGTTAATTCATATAGACTTGAATATAAATTTGAAATGGACACAGTAATCATGGCTAATAATTACATCTAAATATTATCATATTTGCACCTTTCTGTCAATAGAGAAAATAATATATGTATTGCTCTTACTGAATTATATAAATTGTTATGCCATTTAATTATAGTATATATGAAATATGATGGAGTTTTAACCATTTTATAGCTATAGACATGAAATAATTATACCATTGAACCTTAAATATGTTGGAGAACATATCTCTGGAAATCTGAAACATCTAACAGCAGCATATTAAGGTTATACAAAATTTTAATAACCCACTTGTGATATGTCCACCAAAAAAAATGTATGAGAATGTTCACAACAGCTTTATTTTTTTTAATAGTCCAAAATTAGAAACAATCCAAATGTCTACTAATAGGAAAATAGATAAATAAGTTGCGGTATACTCATACAAGGAAAAATGCATGGCAATAATAAATAAACCACTAAAACGAACATCAACATGGATGAATGGCTATCACAGACGTTATGTTGAGTGAAAGAAGCAAACACAAAAGCATATATTTATGTGGTTTATTGGAAGTTTAAGACTAATTGATGGTGATAAAAATCAGCATACTGGTTAACTTGACAGCAAGGGGCAGGAGGAAACTTCTTAAGGTAATGAAAATGTTTAATATCTTGATCTTGGTGGTAGTTTCATGGCTGTACGCATATATAAAATTCACCAAGCTGTACACTTAAGACATGTGTATTATATACTGTATGCATGCTATACCACAATAAAAAAGAAAAATGTGAAAATGTGTGCTCAACATGATCTATTTTAATTTTGCTAGAAAATCATAAGCTATGAGCTGATTAAATATGATGTGGAGAAAGATGAACCTGTCCGAAATGAAAATGGATATTGCATTAAAGTTCCCAAAGGTACAGTGGATTTTTGTTCAATTAACATGTGATTTTCTTACCTTGACCAAGTGACTGTTGAGAACTAACCTGTCATTGCTGAAATGAACACGTGATAAAATTTATCAGAATGGGGGGAGGGAAAGAGGTTTATTTTTGAACTCTCAGAAATAGTTACAGGAATTCCAAAAGATACTAATTTAACCACTACATGTAACATAATTACAGTTTGAAATCTAGCTTAACAACATCTTGATTACGAGGTAAGCATTTTGTGGGAAGGGATATGTAATTATGGTTGCAAAACTATAATTAGTTTTAGGGAATCTTTACCTTTAAGCTTAAACTACTGTGCATTTGGCTAATTATGTATGTAAATCATTATTCAGTAAAAGGTTAGCATTTTAAAAGCTACAAATGTGTGGCCATATAGAATACTGTGTGCGTGGTATATAGTATATGTGTATATGTGATACATATGGATATACATGCATATGAGCAGCCAGCTTGTGTCAATGGGTTGGGTGGCATCAGTTTTCAGAGGAGGTTAATAATAAAATTTGCCTACTGCAAGCACATACAATAACAATTTACATTCTTCTGTCTTAGGTGAAGTCGGACTCCTGGTTTGCAAAATCACACAGCTTACACCATTTAGTGGCTATGCTGGAGGAAAGACTCAGACAGAGAAGAAAAAATTAAGAGATGTCTTTAAGAAAGGAGACCTCTATTTCAACACTGGCGATCTCTTAATGATTGACCATGAAGATTTCATCTACTTCCACGATAGAGTTGGAGATACATTCCGGTTGGTTTCTCTGAATTATTGAGCCCCAAACAAACATGTACAATTTGGCTTTCTCCTAAATTGGAATCGCATTCCAATTTGGTTATGGTGCTCCATTTTCTTCTATCTCTTTGGCATGTCAGTTCAACCTCCTGTGTTCCCAGGAAAAATAGGAGCAAAATGCAGGCGATATCACTCTGCAATGCACAGATAACTTGCTTGTGCAACACCAGATGAAAATAAGGCAGAAAACCTGTGCCTGATTTTTGGAGTCTAAATAGCTTAGTCTGTTCAATTCCTTAGTTAGTTATTATATTACTGGTCACTCTTTGGACAGCCAGGGATTTTCGCACTGTTTCCAGTTATGGGGCTTTTCTTCAGATAAAATCAAATGCAAATTAACATGGAACTGATTTAGCTGAAGAGGAGGTGAGGGGTTCCAAGCCCCACCTGTTCTCTATCCCCAACCAGGTGGTTTCCCACAGAACCCTCGAGTAGGCGCAGTGACGTTGGAAAGTCATTGGAATAGACCATGAAATTAATTCCCAACAACAGCACAGTCCTCCAGCCTTCTGACACTTTTACTGAATCAGCTTCCTAACTGCATAACTTCCCTGAGGCCAGGCCCTGTCTCTGCTTGTTTACCCCCAGCTCCTAACACAGGGGCTGACACACATAATTACTTTTTGAGTGAATGAATGAGGAAAGGATGGAAGTTGTCTGGCTGTAGTAAAAAGAATGTGGGTGTGAAAGATGAGAACTGAGCTCACCTCTGCCCCTGACCAGCGCGGTGTTACCAAGGCAGGTAACCTTCCTCAACCTCCGTTCCTTCACTCATGAAATGAGGGTACTGATGATCCTCAGGGTTCCTTCCATCTGTTATAGTCCATGACTTAGGCTCCATATCATTATTTTATGCCACCCTCATGTTACTGAAAAATACTTCTAGAAGATATAAAGAATTTTTTTAATGTAAAATATAAATAACTATGAAGTGAAAAGTAGCACCTGGTTGGGCACTAACTTTATAGTCTCCCTGCAAATAAAGTATGACATTTTCTTTCTTCTTAAAAGCTTTCTCGTTGCCATGAGACTGCGAAATACAAGCATGAAATTTTATTAAATAGGAATTCACTAATTGAATTTAATAGCAACCAAAGGTGGTGAATGAGGAAAAGTGAGAGGCCTAAACACAGCAAAAAGTCATTGAGCGTTTCTGTGTGATTTCCAGCGCCTTTCTTAGGCCAAGCCTGTATTTTAACATTAGAACGACATCATTCTGTGTACCATGTTTCATGTAGCGAGATTGCAATTCCCGCATTTTATTATTTAGGTCTCTGCCTTTGTCTTTTGTTCCTTAAGCAGGATGCCTCTCCCATAATGAAGTTGGGGAGTTTGGGGGCCAAGGTGAGGAATAGAGTACAGCCACTCCGGAGGTCTGGAGGGCACCACCTGCTCTCTGTCATTGCATCCAGGGACCACCAGTGACCTCTGCTAACCTTGCCTTCTCTTCCAGGTGGAAAGGGGAAAATGTGGCCACCACTGAAGTCGCTGACGTAGTAGGACTGGTTGATTTTGTCCAAGAAGTGAATGTTTATGGAGTGCATGTACCAGGTATGCACAAGATATTATAAATCTATGCCTAAACCCATACAGTAACTGAACATAATTTGAACCCCAGGGCAAAGTATGTCATCACTTTTGCCTGCCAGCTGGAGAATGAAACAACTCTTTCAGCCACTTGGGACTAAGGAGCTTAGGTCTGGTTTATGTTCCATTATAAAGCAGCCAAGTTAATACATCTGACCCTGGCCTTCCTCTGTGATTCTGCTCCCCAGCTGGGCTCTCAGGCAAGCCAAATCTCTCCACGACGCAAGGTCCCATACTGCATTTGGCACTCCTCAAGAAAGATGTATGCTGGATAGCTGAGAAGTGGTATGCAAGACACAAATAAGAACAAGTGCAGTTGCTAAGAGAAAAAGCTGGGAAGGAGCTGATTTTGTCCAGACTCTTCTTTTAAAGCAGGTCCCTGACCCCAGTCCACCCCACTGCGTTTCAGAATCACGACGCAGAATGGTGTCACCAAGCCTTCTTCTGTAGATCTGCTTCTGCTAGCAGAGTGGGAAGTGCCGAGGTCTGATTTGGGGTCCTAACCCCCATCACGGCTGGCTGTTTGACTTCAGGCAAATCACTAAAATTAGGGATAATACCAGCCCTGGAGTTAAGATTGACAAGAGTCCTAACTCATTTCAATTACATAACTAGTTAACATATATTTACCAGATATACACATGCCAGTTGTCATAAGAAGAAGTCAGTTTAATTATAAATGTCATAGAGGATTAAAACCTCCAAGTCACTGTCCAAATATAGGTGCTAGGGACATTAGTATCCCCCAGAACTCAGTATTTAGGATCCTCATCTATATTCAAAAGGAAATCCCAAAGTCCCTTTTTCCTGAGCTCTGAGGGTTTCATGTGACTTTGTGCTGTCCTTTCATTTTTTAAAGAATATTCAAGACTTTCTCTTGCATTTTCCCCTCCAACCCTGTGACAATGACATGATGGGAAGTATAGCCACATCTTGGGTCGCAGAGTGTGAGGGGTGCAGAATACTACTCATGTTGGGCCTTAGGCTGAATTAACACAAGAGCCTATGTCGTGGTTGTCAACCATCGCATCGCGCTGGGCTCTCACAGACTCCACCTAGAATGTTGCACGCACTTTTAAATGCTGAATTTTAAAACGGTAACAGCGCCAACGAATGTGTAGAAGAAGGTGAGAGAACCTGGGAAATGGAATGGAAGGCCCTAACCCCGGGCTCTTTAAAGTGGAGTCTCTGAACCAGCAGCAACAGGGCCCTCACCCAGGAGCTTATGAAAAATGCGATTACTCAAGCCCACCCCAGACCCGAATCAGACTCTCTGAGGTGAGGCCCAGGGCGCTGTGTTTTAACAAACCCTCCAGTGATTTTTAAAAACATTGAAATCTGATTTGGGGGTGATGAAAATGTTCTAGAACTAGGTACTAGTTGCACAAAAAATGTGAATTTTTTAGTGTGAATGCACTAAAAGCCACTGAACTGTGCACTTTAAAATGGTTAACATGATGAATTGTATGTTTCACCACAGTTAAAAGTAAAACACTAAAGGCTGAGAAGCACTGATACCTAGTGGTTCCAAAAATCTGGCCAATCCTCAGAATCATCTGGGAAACATTTTAAACCCCTATCTAATGGATCAGGACCTCTGGGGTTTGAGATTCAAAATCTTCATGTCTCTTTTTCATTCTCAAGTGAGTCTAATGACCAGTAAGGTTTAGAAGCCACTGATATAGAACAAAGAAGAGGAAGCTAATGGTTTTCAAATGGTTGGAGACAGAACAAGGAATGGGTGTGTTCATGTTGCTCCAATGAGCAGAACAAAAACCAATGGGTTGAAATGACTAGGGAGCAAATTTTAGCCTGAAAACTCTCCTGTAACCAGAGGAACCAACCGCAGAATAGACTGCCTAATGTCCCACTAACTGGAGTGTGTAAAGAGGCAGGATATCCACGTGGGATCCTGTGAGAATTCTTGCAGCAGTGGAAGCTTAGATATGAACTCTAGAGATCAGAGCCTCTGAAGCCTCTCCCAGCTTACAGGTTCTGTGCTTCTCACGGGGCCTTCACAGATCTCAGCTTTGGAGCAGGAGGGGACAGCTAGGTTTGGGCCTAGAATGGAGTTAACTTTTTCTAGGTATCACACCAAAACTACTCTCTAGGACTTTTATTATCAACAGAACTTTCTTCAGTGATAAAAGCATTCTATATCTGCATTGCCTAGTATGATATCCAATAGCCTCCACATGACTATTGAGCAACTGAAATGTGGCTGGCGCAGCGGAGGAACTGCATTTTTCATTTTAATTATAATTAATTTTAATAGCCACATGTGAGAAGTGGCTACTGTAGTGAACAGTGCAGTTCTAGAGAACCCCTGGCCATAACTGCTGCAGACGGGAACCTTCTCCCTGGAGCTGAACTAGCCCTAAACCAACCTCTAGGAGTCAGGGCAGAGGCCTGAGACCCAACCAGCCCATTCTCCTCTCTGTTGGGCATTGCCTCTGCCAGAGCAAGAAGCAAGGAGCCAGTGAACACTACAGATTTCTGTTGCACCAGCCTGTCTTAGTTCTAAAAGGAGATTAGTAGAGACGTTGAGATTCCTGAGATAGGTGCCTTCTAGAGAGCTATCAGGGACCCCTAGGGAAAGCAGGTCTGATACCCTGCCTCTCTCCCTCAGATAAAAGATGAATCAAATGCGTGTGTGTGTGTGTGTGTGTGTGTGTGTGTGTGTGTGTGTGTGTTTCCTTTCCTTTAATTTTTCCTCTTGTTTTCTGCCTCCTTTAGAGCTGTAGGTAAACACACAATCACCATGGGAGAGCCTTTGAAAGCTGCAGCCCAGGTGACAGAAGGGCGGCTCCTTCCCCGCCTCTGATTACTTCTAAGTAGTTCAGGGAAGTAGACCTGGGCTCCCACTGGGTTTACTGGATCAAGGAGAAGATAGATTAATACCTAATTACCACTGTCTTCACAAGAAAACAATGGTAGTTGTTCTAAACTCCTCTCCACTTACTGTCCTGCTTGACAGAGAAGAAAGAGCTGTTAGGATTTGTTTTCTCTGTGGAGAGCTCAACCCTGGGGACTACAGGGCATCTGTGGGAGGGCACAAAACAGCTCACCTTTATCCCTTGTCCTCACCCTCCTGTCCTGCAGCTTCTCTGAAATGCAGTGAGGCAAAGCTATTAGGAACCTTGATTAAATAAGTAAGTCTCAAAGGCGTTTGTGCCTAGAATCCAACAGACCTGACATTGCAATCTAAAGAACACCCTGAGCTCAGTTATTCTTGACAGTGGAGCAAGGACTATTTACTGGAGTCAAAAGAAAGAAAGAAATTTATTTAGCCACCAGTTTGACCTGTTTCTCGTTCAAGTGTTTTTATCTAGGCTGCTAAAAAGGATGTTGATTATAAGCACAGGATATGGAGCCAGCCTGCCTCAGTTCAGTTTCTAACCTTACCTAGCATTTGCTGCAGGAACTTAACAAGTCTCTTAATGTCGTTAAGCCTCAGTTTCTTCATCTGTAAAACGGGGATAACATTTGTACCGCTTCATAAAGTTGTTATGAGGGTTAAATGAGATAGTCCATAAGACCTGGCATATAATAAAGATTCAATCAATGTATAGCCGCTGTTATTAGTAGTAGTAGTATTAGTAGTATTTTCACTTTAGAATAACTTTGACATATATTTGAAATAAAAATTCCAACTATCCAAAAGAAATTCATGGCCTAATGTTGTCTCAGTCCACTGTTCTTTGAACTAGCAAAGCTTTATAAATAAATAGCTACAACACATCTAATTTTTTCTCACTTTACTTCTAGGTCACGAGGGTCGAATTGGCATGGCCTCGATCAAAATGAAGGATGACCGTGAATTTGATGGAAAGAAACTTTTTAAACATGTTGCAGATTACTTGCCCAGTTACGCAAGACCCCGGTTTCTAAGAATACAGGTGAGATCCCTTGTTACCAAGTTCAATTATCTGCTCTTGGAGACCCTTGTCTTAAGGAACAATTCCCCTTCTACCATGATGATGACATTAGCCAAATGTTCACTACCCTCTCCAGGAAGCTCAGTAACGCAACAGAAATATCAGAAAATACAGCGAGCAGAAACCAAATCCTAATCCCTTTCTCCTTAAAAATGACAGGCCAGTTCATTCAACAACAGTATTAGCAAATAACTCACAAAGTCTTTGTTTAAAGAGGTATAATAGACACTTAAAATAGAAGTGCTCCAACCCTCCTATTTGTTTCCAGTTTTAAAGAATGGAAAAACCCACTGAAATCCTTCAGCTTCCTATAGGGTGAAATTTAATTGGGCATCATTTGCCAGTTGGAACTACCAAAGGCTTAGTTATCATTGCTAGAGGGATTCTTTTTTTCTTTCTCAAAAATTAACCACTTGGTTAGTTTAACACTCTCACTTTTGGACTTTGAGCTCTAAGAGTATGATTCTGTAGCTGAAGACATGAGAAGTGTTAGATTACCAGATATTGCTGTGGCTATAGGGTTATTTCTGTTGATGTTCATAAAGCACTGACATTTGCTTTCAATGATATGGTTGGGAGACATGAAAATTGAAATATCCTCAGATCATCACCTATTAATTGAAGAAAAAACAAATCTTCGGTCCAGCGGACAAGCAGGCTGAAAAAACAGAGTTGTCTGTGTGTAGATGATCCCCTTAGCTTCACCCTACCATTAATCAGGATATTCCAGAAACACCTGAAGCTCACAAAGCAACAGGCTTCTCTGCTTCGTACGTAGTTCACTGCCCACAGCCCCTCACTCCCCGCCACAGGTGATCTTAAGGCTTAAGGGAATGAAAAGTACCTCCACAAAGAGCCCCCTAGTGGAGCTTCAGAAAACAGAATGTATCTATATGCAAATTGCCCTCTATAATGTGGGTGGGCCTCATCCAATCATTTGAAGGCCCAAATGGAACAAAAGACTGACCTCCCCCAAGCAAGAAGGAATTCTGCTGCAGACTGCCTTTTGACTTGATAACAACATCCACTCTTTCCTGAGTCTCCAGCTTGCTTACTCACCCTGTAGCCTTTGGACTAGCCTCCATAATTGTGTGGGCCAATTCCTTAAAATAAATTTTTCTATATTAAAAAACAACAACAACAACAACAAAAAACAAAACTCCCTTTCGCAACTCTCAAAGGAGCCAGAGATACAGAGATGTGATGGGTTGCCACCCCCCTGCCCCACCTCCACCCCTTTCCCTGCACCCTAATCTGTTTGCAAAACACTACAGACAATGTGGATTGTTTGATGTTTTCCAGGACACCATTGAGATCACTGGAACTTTTAAACACCGCAAAGTGACTCTTGTGGAGGAAGGCTTTAACCCTTTGGTCATCAAAGATGCCTTGTATTTCTTGGATGACAAAGCGGAAATGTACGTGCGGATGACTGAGGACATTTACAATGCCATAAATAGTGAAACTATGAAACTCTGAATGTTTCCAGGATGATAACTCATAATATTCCCAGAGAGAAACTGAAAGGGCCTAGTACAGCCACGTAATATAATCCAACTTTAATTCGAATGAAGATTGTGAGGTGCCTGTTTTATGCATTCCAATAAGGGAAGACTTTTCGAAATTACACCTGAACCTTTGTAAGTGAAAAGATTTAGAGATAATTATTTTTCAGTTTGCACCTACTGTTTGTGTTTGTAAACTAACCTTGTTACAGCAAAGGCGTTATTTTTTTAATACATAATAAAATAGATGAACGCCAATATATGAGATGCTCTGTCTCTTTCCTTTATTCTAAATGCAAACCCTTTTCACAGGTGTCCCATTCATAATGATAATGGCATTCTAGATAAGCTATGGCAAGGTAAACTATTGGGAGGTGAGGGGGGTGGGTCAGCAATGAACAGCCCATTGGATATCCAGCTCCAATGGAAGGCCAGCTCTCCCCACCGAATAGCATCCTGGCCACTGTCTAAAACAGCATTATCCAAAAGGTGAGACTGCCATCTGTAGTTCTTAAAGGACCCTAAACAATAGCATCAGAATTCTATACATAAAAGGTGTTCAGTGGATATTTGTTAGCTATATCAAGGGCTGCCAACTCAAAAGTGTCTTCAGGATTCACATTGGATGAAAAAAGTGGGTCACCAATGAATGTGGCAAACGAGGACAGCCACTACTCAGCTATAGTGGGCTGATTATTGTCATGTGGGAATATAGCTCAGGCACCTCTGGGATCTTGCGATGATTCAGAAAACAGAAGCCCAGATATTTATGTGAATCTTCCCAATTTTTAAAATGTGAAGTCTCAAACATTTTCAAACTCACATGCATCGCAAATGAAATGTATCTGTGGACCAGATGAGTGCCAGATCTCCAGTTAGCGCCCCCTGTCCCACATGCTCCTCAGACCTGAGCTGGTTTGAGGAGCCCGTCTCCTGCCCGAGAGCTTGTTCCAGGACCCTAGGTCCTTTGACGTGGCACAGGAGGGTTTGGGAACTTTGAGGAGCTCTTTCAGACAGGCTCTTCCTCCTCACACTCAGCCTTCTCCCTTCCCAAGGAAAGCTCCCTCACCTCTGCATGTGTCAGTTGCACACAGGTTCCAAAGGCAGGTCCTCTGTGGCGGCCCTCCAGACAACATGTTCTTTACTAGAGTGTGTCCTAGGCCACTGGAACATCACAGTCACTAAGTCCCCATCCAAGAAGTGTAATGCACGTTCACCCCAGCCTCCCTAAAAGAAGTGGAGTTTCCTTACCTAGAGGACATCTTCAGATGTCCAGGGGCTGGCCAGGAGCTCCAGTTCTCCCCCAATTTTGACCCCATAAGGGCCCAGGCAAACATATCCAGGGATCCTCAGTGACATACGACAAGAGGGTTCGTCGCCCCACCCCCAACACATTACTAGAAATATTTTTGAAACTCTCCGCTCTCTTAGGTGGCTCCTAAAAAGGCTCCTGACCAGAATTCCTGCCCCATCTCATTATGCACAATAAACATTTCCTAGGTACTTAATATGCATCAGGGATTTGAGGATGGCCAAAGGAAAACTCTGGGTATCACTGAATCTTTATGAGTGTTGCCAATAGTTTAGAATGACTGCTGCTTGTGGGTGAGCCCTCGGGAATTTTTGCAAAAGTCTAAGTAACTGCTTTTGCTCTATCCATTTCCCAGTGTGAAGTTGAAGCCAAGTGATGGGAGATAGCATGACCTTTGTTTTTGAGAGTATCATGGTGTGCAATTGTGTTGCTTGGAATCTTGTTAAAATGAATCCAGTGGTAAGCAGAGGCTATGTTAAAGCAATGACATCGTTCTGTGTCACAGGGGTGTCTTTTGGGATGAAAGGTCAACACTTACACCATTAGTCAGAACATTCGTGTTTCAGTGACCAGAGCCTGCTGGGGCTTGACCACCTTTGACTCACATTTTAGACTTTTGAGTGAGAAACAGCAACTCTCCCTCCCAGCCTGATCTTCCTCAGCCTCCAACTTCTCCAAATCTTCATGATTCTGGCCAGATATTGTGATGGCTAGAGACACCAGCACAATATCCTTAGTACCTGGGTGTGCATGTATGTATACAAAGTTAAGCCATTACCTGTGACAGCTAATCAACTTTAAAGACCAGCTTTTCTCTTTTAAAAAAGCCAGAAACTGTGTCCATAGAATCTGTACAAATCACATTAAAACTACAAATAGACATGTTTAGAAACATAAGCTGCTATCCATGGAAATAATTCAACAGATCTCCAATTTCAAATGTATTGTTTGGAAACATATAATCAGTGCATAGATAGGATGCTACAGGCACCAAAATAATTTGAGGATAAAACTAGGAAATGCCAGCATCTGAAATGGAAGCTAATGAGAATCAGTACAAAAATGGAGAAGATTACCCAAGTGCAGTGACCGACCCTAAGAGATGATTTGTTAATGTGTTGCTGGTTCATATATCCACCCTATACTTGGTCTTAGCCAAATAAATGGCCCAGAAGTGTTCATGCGTTCACCCTGCAAGCATTTAGTGGGTGCCTGCCTGTTATGGACCAAGAAATGAGCTCAGCACTAGTGTCTATCTAGGAAGTCAGGTCAGATGTTCAAGGAAGGCTGACTGGAAAGACCCCTAGAAAAAAGGTCTTCTCCTTGTGCTTTAACTTCTCAACAGTAATTATTTTGTCATTACAGTTGGTGGGGCTGTATGCAGCCTGTAAAGGGGCAGCTAACAAGAAGGAAGGTGTCATCTAGCATCACCCCAGCACTGTTTAAGGGGGGTGAGCTGACTGGCCAACATAGGTCTTCTAGTCAGTGTGGCTGCCATCTCCCCAGAGCGCACATAGTGCCATGTTGTGGTAGGTGTATATATAGCTGAGGGTCTATTCCATTATGATCGTCAATTTCCCTTTGCACAGATGTCATGTTTTCATGAAGCTGTAAGTTCCAAGAGGGCAGAGAGTCTGTTTATCTTGCTCATCATTATATCCCCAGTGCCTGGCACATAGTGTACAATAATTAAGTGTTGCTTTTTCATCAAGCAACCCCGATAAACATCTGGTTCCCCATATAAACTTTTCTGTGGAATAGGGGGAGAAGCAGAGAGAAGGAGCTAAATAGATGACCTGAGTCTTCTAGTTCATGTAGCGCGGTGATGCTGACTTGAGCATTGAGAATCACCTGAAATCGTGTTAACACACAGGCTGCTGTGACCGGTTCCCCAGAGTTAGAATTAGAATTGGAATTTGCCTTTCTAACAAATTCCTGGGTGTTGTCAGTGCGATTGTTCAGGAGCCACGATGAGAGCCACTAGCAGAGTAAAAGCATCCTGAGTTATACACCGTGGGTGCTGAGTGCCATTCGGTCCCTCAGAGCTGCATTATCCTTTATGAACCGAGCCTCAGATCTTAGCTCTGGAGTGACTCCCAGGGCAAGTCCCAGAAAAGGCCCAGCGTCAGGCAGCACCGTCACCTTTAGCCTGCAATTGTTGTTGAACATTCACATTACCAGCACATATCTATTTACGAGATATACACATATGTATTACTTGCTGTAACAAAACTAAAAGCAGAGTGTCTAGTCAAACCTCTTTATGCGATCAAAGAAAAAACTGAAGCCTGGAAGGGACAATGACATGCCCAAAGCCGCATGACTCATGGGCATCACAAAGCTCCCACTTAGTGCTTACAGGAAGAGACATACCTTCACAGGCTAGTGGCTCTCTGAGTGTGTTCCCAGACCACCAGCAGCAGCATCACCGGGAATGTGTTAGATATGCACATTTTCAGGCCCTGCCCCAGACCTACCGAATCAGAAGCTCTGGGGATGGGCCCAGCAATCTGGTTCTAACAAGCCCTCTTGGCGATTCTGATGGAGGCTCAATTTGAAAACCACCAGCTCAGAGCAATGCTTCTGAAGCTTTAATGTGCAGAAAAAGCACCTGGGGATGCCCATACCTGTGGGTCCACACACCCCTCTTTGAGCAGCAAGAGACTGTAGAGCAGCAGTTTCCAACTATTGTTGCACATTAGAATTCCTGGGAGAGCTGTCAAAAATACCGAAGCCCAGGCCCACCCCATCCCAATTAGATCAAGACTTTTCTAGGAGTGGAATCCAGGCATCTGTATTTTTTAAAAAACTTCCAGGCGATTCCAGTATGCAGCGAAGTCCAGGGACCACTAATAGAGAAGGTCAACATTAAAGGTTAAGCTCTTGACAAAGACTCTCCTTGACCAAAATCTATGCCAGGCCTTCTTGTCGACTAGACCTCCACCTTGGCCTATAATGATCTGAATGAACACTAAGATAGTTTCTAACAGCTCAAGGGCCACAACCCTAGCATGAACCGAGTCCCGCTTAAAGTACCTGCCTGCAAAAACTCAAGGCTGCCAAAAGAATTGACTGTTTGTTCCACCCAACACCTGAAGACAGGCCCCTGCCTCCCAGCCTCTGTGGGAGGGTAGGAGCCTAACTTCGATAAGCACCAGGGAGCAAACCCAGGTGGGTTTCATACGGGCCCGCCCCCTCTTCTTGCTGTTCGTAATTTTTCATTTCTCTGACTCTGTGGAGCTCCCACATGCCCCCCTCTCTTCTCCCTCATTCTCCCTTCTAAATACCCAGTGACCTCTGAACAAATCCAAGTTGAGTCCAGTGTATGCTGCACTCTTTTCCCTATTGCAATAGTAATTATTACTGATACAAATTACTGATTAACATCTGTCCTTATGACTTTAACTAGTGTCCACCTTTGTCCCTTAATGCTGTTAATGCAATCAATTTCAGAGCCACTGCCTGTAAAAGGACCATCTGAAATGGGAAGAAAATGATATTTTGGCCTGTGGACTAACAATGGGCAAGCAGCCCGTGACCACAGCTTTATTTGACTGCAGGGTCCAGAAAAATGGGGACATTTAAATATACAGAAGAACCCGAGAGGAGAGGCCTGCTAGGCTGAGGGCTTCTGATCAAGTACAACCTTGAACAGTACAATATAGTGGGAACAGCATGGGCTTTACTGAAAACAAAGAGACCTGGGTTTGCCCGCTTATAAGCTCTGTGACCTGGGGCCTCAGTTTCCTCCTTTATAAACTGTAAGCCTGCCTTTTTCATGCCGAGGGCTCCTCTAAAGTCATTTTTTTTTTCACAGTCAAATTCAAATCTTCAGCATCCTGTAAAGCAGAATCTATAAGGACAGGCATTTAGGCTCCAGAATATGCTCCGGTTAATTAATCAATATTTCAGTGGTCAATTAAGTCACACAGGATACACTTTTTTCAGACATGAACACAATTTATTTCTACATTATATTTCATATCACAAGCTGAACCACAGAAGCTGCCTGTCAGTACACTACCCGGGGCCCTTTCTCTCTGACCAGACTGCTGGAACCTTCTGGACCATGTTGGCTTCAACTCTCCATTTGGATCCTGTCATGGGTCATGAACCCCTATGAGAATGTGATAAAAAATGATGGGCTCTCTCCTGAGAAAAATGCACATACACATAAGCACACAAATTCAGCATATAATTTTGAGGGGTTCAGAGACTCCCTGAAACACATCCATGGACTCTGGCTGAAACCCATGGTCTAAACCATTGCCTGCAGAGGGCAGCAGGGCAGCTGAAACCCACATTGAGAGCCGCATTCAGGAAAGCTGGGGACACTGTAGAACTTAATTAGTTTTTTGAAGGCACTTTTCTTCAGCAGCATCATCTCCTCCGGAAACCGGGAGAAGATTCTGACCCGGGAGAAGCCCCCACTCTTCACAGAGCCATCCGTGGGCAGTGGCTTCTGAGCACTCACGGGCACGCTGTTGCAACTGAGGGAACGCACTGCCTTCTTCTTACTCCGCACTGACAAATAATTGAACAAGAAGGAGGACAACTTGTGCTTGGTGACACCTGGGGCCTCTTCTGAAAAGCAGTCGTCAAGAGGGTCCAGCAGGGTTTCAAGATGGCCGCCGTCTTCCCTTCTCACAGGACTGACTCCCGCACGCTGAGGCTGCTTGATGATCTTCCTGGCCTGGGCCAGGTCATCATCCACCCCCCCGGGGAAAGACTGCAGGGACGTCCCGCTGGCCAGCGCGGGACCCCTGGCTGGGGGGATGAGGCTCCCCATCTGAGGGCTAGGTTGGGAAGTACAGTGCTGACTCAGGATGAGGGTGGAAGCATCTCGAATGAGATGCCAGTCTCTCTGGATATCCTCCTTCGTAGTAAACTGGGATGTCACCGTGAAGCGGATGATCAGCTTGTCCTGGAGAGTGGCCGGGATGAGGAAGAGACGGCCAGCTTTAGCTATTTCCTGTAACACACTTTCCGTGAGACAATTAGGACCCTGTTTGAAGGATAAAGAGAGGTCTGTATCACATCCCCTGGAAGCAACCCCAGAAGCCCAGCATTGATGTCCCCAAATGACATCACTCACAGCCGTGGAAGATGGCATTACCTTGAGACGAAAAACCACCAGGCCAAGGTGCCTCTTGGCAGGAATTTCAAACAAAGGATCATTTCTGACCAGAGATTCAAAGTATTTAGCCATTTCAGTCCCCTAGAATTGTAAATAGAGAACTGAGATTAATAGGCAGGGGACAACCATGCATCAACTTTCACACTGCTAAATGGATTTATTTAAACCAGGACATGTTTGAACCATGGAGGTCTGAATGGCTTGTACCCAATTTCCTTCTCTGTTTGATTTTGCTCATATCCCAAGCTAGAGAACCTCCAGATGGCTCCCTATTTCTTATCATTTCAAATCCACCTTGAGAACTCATGTCTCAGGGCCCTCTTTCAGCTCACCCCCAGAGCCAGAAGCCACACATTTTGCAATCAGTGTGATCTGGCCTCACAGCTTCTTGACTGACCATAGGGACAATGAGGGCCCAAAAGCACATGCTCTGTGTTCCCCGAAACCTGCCTCGTAGGGGTTGCAGCTTGTTTCTACTGAACATCAAGTCACCACGTGGGCTGTTGACAGCTGTGCCCCATCTGAAGCCTGCATCCTTCCCTTGCCTCTCAAACCTTTTCACCTCACGTGTCCTTTCAATCTCCTTTTTTTCTGACATTCCACCAAGAGCATATGTTACACATCATCCCCATGTATACTGTGGAAAGGCTTGGCGCCTACTTAATGGGTACAGAGCTTCTGCTTGGGGTGGTGGGAACAGTTCTGGAAATAGATAGTAGTGATGGTTGCACACATTGGAAGTGCTCTAATGCCACTTAATTGTACACCAAAACACAAGTGTTTCATGTTATGTGTATTTACTACGATAAAAAATTTTTTAAAGCTTGGTATCATATTAACCTTTCACTGGAGTTTAGCCATTTTAATTTTTTTTCTGTATTTTTTAACCAAGGAATATTAACTAAACAAGAACAGAGCCTGTCTTTGGTTTTATTTCTTAAAATGTCTTCAGGCATCCAAAAGGATCTCAATAAACTATGTGCTAAGTAATTTCTATCACCTGGTTCTCGCACCTGCTACTGTATTTCAAGACAAGGCAAGACATTCAGCGAATCATGCCTTTGACCATGATGCAATAAGGTAAGATACTACAAACCTCACCCAGGGCCCCTTCCTCTCCACTGCACGGCCTCTTTAAAACAGTCTCCAGTCAGTGCCCCAAGAACTTTTCATTCTCAAGTCCTCAGGCTCTCTCTCAGGGAAAGCTTCCTACTAAATGCTTTGATGTGTCATGTCCTGCTCAGTGTTCCCTCTAGCTAACAAAGAGACAGCCGCCCTAAATAATCAAGTCCCAGGAGCCCGCAAACAGACCTGGACTCCTGAGCCACATGACGCAGGTCCCCTGGGCAGGTCTGCAAAGCAGAAACCGCCTTCCTCCCCACGAGGACACAAAGCAAGCCGGGCCCAGCCCACAGTCAGTGCACTAGTACATACGTGTCTGACATGAGCTTGAAGATTCTTCACCCCAAAGGACCGAATCACGAACCAGAGCTTTATAGAGCGAAACCTCCTGCTCAGGGGGATCTGCCAGTGCTAGAACAGAGGAGCACAGAGGAGCCCGTGGTTAGAAACAAGGACACCCACTTTCTTGTGCACTCCTGGGCTTTGTCATCCATTGCTTGTCTAGCCCTTCAGGGATGGTTGGTGTCACCATGACACTGAAGCTGTTGCTAAGAAGCAGCCAAGGCAAGTTACCCAGAGACTGCCACATCATGTGACCAAACCACTGGTGAAGGTAGCCAATGGGCCCTTATCCAAGAGCAGGACAAGTGGGAACCAAGTCCATGACCCGTGAATGAAGGAGAAGACACTTTGCTTTAAAGACAGCTTTCAACATTTCTTCCCAGGCTGAAACTCAAGATACGAGCAATAGATTTTTTTCTCTAAAAAAACCTAAGTCCCTTGAATAGCAGAAGATAAAATTCTATTTGTATTCCCCCTCCCCCACATCAAAAAAACGTAAAGTATAATGGTCAAAAGCTCAGAGGCTGGAGCCGGCAGACCTAGGTGTCTCCTTACTGGCTGTGACCTTGGGCAGTGCCACCTCACTGGTTCCTCTGAGATGGAAAACGTATAGCACCTCCCAGGGAAGTGGTTTGAGGAGATGAGCCATGCAAAGAACTTCACAGGAATTTGTCAGTAGATGCTGGCTATTTACATGATTAAATTGTGAGCTACAAATCACAGCAGTATTTCTGCCTAGAACCAAAATGATCATTATTTAATCTCACTGTCTTGTCCTAACTTTTTCCGGTGACATTCCTGTGCCCTTGGGGAGGCATCATTCCAGCTTTCAGATTTCAAATGAGTATCTGCCCCTCGGCCTCTGTTAGACTAAAATTGACCTTTGTTCCTGGTAACTAAATTCAATAGAGCATGAAGTTCAAGGTTGCAGACACCGTAGATCTGAAAAATTTTAAACCAGTAGCAAACCGATTTCTCAGATCTGGAAACAGAGCAAAGGGTATGGAAAATATTTTCAGTCTTCTGATGGGTAATATGGTTTCTAATGACCTTTTCCTCAAATGTCAGAAAGCTCCTGCGACAATTTCTGTTGACTAAAAATAAATATTTATCCCAGTGAATATTTATCTACTCGTGCACAGGATTGCCAAATCCTCATAAATGTGCTCACCTTAACATTTCACCCCAGTTCCCTGACCCAGGCACAGTTGAGACATTACCCCTTTGTTGACAGTGTTTCTGCCACATCAAGTACTAAGCTTTTGATTTCTAAGGGAAACACTCTAGTGCGGAGGACCAGCTTGGGGACTCGTGTTTACCACCAGAGGGCATCAAAACCCAGACACGGAACAGAATCCCTGTTAACAAGGAAAGCGTCAAGTCCACCACTTGTTCAATGGACTCTCTGGGAGAGTAATGAATGGATAACAGGGGTCTTCTCTAAAAACATTCCGTTTTGCAGATGATTATCAATTTAGCTACTTTAATTCACCAGCAAATTAAAGGAGAGGTGTGGGGAACAGGCTGTGAGCTGACAGGGTCCTCAGCTGACAGGGTCCTCACAGCTGGTGGAACAGTTCAGGGAACGTTCCACCCCTACTGATCCAAGAAGAGAAAAGAATAGCTGAAGCCACAGGAGCTTCTGCAAAGTGCATAACAAAATCTAACCTGCTTGTGCACTTAGAGAAGTGCATAACAGGATGTAACTTACTAATGTCTAACCTGATAAACAGACCCCCTGCAGCTGTTTACTGCTCTCTGCAGCTGCTTGCTACTATATAAGCTTTCTGCAAAAAATAAACGAGGCCATTGCTCTGCCATCAGCGGTCAGTGGACCTCCGGATCCCAGCTTTTGTCTCTGTGTCTTTCTTTTCTAATCTCCCACCCAGTCCACTCAGGTAGCTTCGGTTGACGAGCAGGTCTCGACAGAGAGGCAGAGATGATTTTAAGTGTGATTTCTTCATACTGTCCATATCCCGTTATTCCTTTTATCACGCTATTCTAAAACCAATCCATGCTGACCCAGCAGGGTGGTTCTAATAGCTGATATTCTCTGTTGGAACAGGAGATTTGGAATTGTAAAGGGTGGTATGGCTCTGCTTTAACCCAAGGCATTCCCAAGTCTCCTCTGTGTCCCTTCAAGATTGTGCATGGCTGCCCTGCCAAGGACAAGACAATGCCCCATTCACTATGGGGGAGAGAGACGGTGCCCCCCTGAAGTCAGAGAACCTAGCCCTGATTTTAAGTGGCTCCAGGCCCCAGGGATGAAGTCCCTAAGTCTTCTCTCCCAGAATGCTGCTCTATTGCTGGCTCATCTCACATATGGCTGTGTTTCTATTTCAAGCTGCAGCCACCTGGGTGAAAAAGAGAGAGCTTGGGACACAGGTCAGAGCAGCAGTGAAGACCCCCAGAATCACCACAAATAGCAGCTTCTGTTTTCTAGGAGTTTCTTTTTAGATTTGAAAATTAAATCTATGGGATTAGAGGTGAAGGAAGGAAAAGCATAAAGCAGCACTTCCTAGATGTAGAAATATAAATAGCAAGGTTCCCCTAGGCCAGTGCTAAGAAAAGCTTAATTGAATATTTCTATAAGTTATCTGGAAGAGAGAGAGCACCATAAAATCTCCAAACTAATGGGAATAAACCACAGGAAGATCATGAGATACTGTTGTGAACGACAACAAAAAAGTAATGTGAAATTCAAAATGGGCAAGGGTAAGAAAATGTTCTTCAGTTATGATGATCCAAGTTCACTTACAGGAGCATGAGTATCATTTCACACTCAGGAAAATAACCTACAGTTATCCCTAAAGATGTCTTCCCCTTGGGCTGCCATGGAATTTTTTTCTTTTGAATGAAAAAATAGTTGAAAACCCACCAGACTAGGCAGTGGAGTTGAATGAATCATTGTTCTTCTGTTTTTATCAACATCTGGACAGTCCTCCCCACCACGGCAAGCTTACTGCCTGCAATGCCAATCAAAAAGCTTCAAAACTCTAAAGGAACTGTGAGCTGGTCCAAGGAAGAATAACCAATATAAACAAGAGATGATGGAGCTATTATTTTAGGACTGAAATGGCGAGACACTTCGCTTGCGCAAGAAGGCAAGACAGAACCATCTCTTCACAAAGAAGAACTCTCACAGATGCCAAGCATTGTTCTCTGTGCTTCACTGTATTGATTCATTTTATCCTCACAGCAAGGCTAAGCAGCCAGTTTTCGCCACCCTCATTTTCTAGATAAGAAAACCTAAAGACAAAGTGTAAGTCTTTTGCCCAAGGCCACACAAGTTACTAAATGGAGGATCCGGGAGGCAAACACAGGCCACCTGGCTTTAGTACCTACACATTTAACCCCTTTGCTATATAACAAATCTCTGCAGCTTAAAAGATTTTTAAAGAAGGTCACGGCTACTCTTCATTGAGCATTTGCCCCATTCCCAATATCGTGCTAAATGATCTTCATGTATGTTCCCATTTCCACCTCACCATACTCAAAGAGATCAGTGCCACTATGCCCATTTTATAGATGAGAAAGTCAAGGCTTAGAGAGGTCCACTAAGTTTCCCATGGGCCCACTGCTGGTGTGGAATTCCAAACCCAGCTCATCTCCCTCTGCTCTGTTGCATCCCTTTTGCCATGTTTAACGTAACTTATTTGTTCACATCCCCGTCTGCCCTCCAATTAAAGGAAGGGCTTGTCTTCAAACTGAGAGTAAATCTGAACCTGTTTCCCCATAATACAGGCTGAGAATGTGGGCCGGCTCGAGAGACTTGAGGGGCAGCTAATGGGAAGGCCAGCGATGTCTGGAGGCATCCAGAACCTCAGGAAGGGTGACCGTGGCCCCACTCCCTCCCACACTGCCTCTGGGGGGATAAAAAGAGGAACGCTATTTAAGCAAGCAGCCTCTTTCTCTACTCGAGGAAATTTTCCACCCTAACCTGCTGCTGGGTAGCAAGCAGAGAAGATTAGCCAGGTCGGAGGCAGAAGAGAGTCGGTCCATTCTTGGTAAGGAGACATTTCTGGGAATTTAAAAAAAAAAAACACCACAGCTATTCAGGAAATGTGCAGACTGCCTCAAAGGTTGGTCTCATTTTTAGGGTTTTTAAAGTTTTCTGAGTTTCATTCTATGTGCTTAGGCCCAGGTTGAAACCAAACATACATAGTTATGTTATGGGGTGGGTTCACAGTGTGCCACTTTCAGATGGGAGCTGACATACAGCTAGCGGGTCATATGCAGTCATCTCTGAGCCCTCAGGATGCCCATTTCCAGTCACTCACCATGAAGTCGGTGGCTGCGCCCGAGTTGGCGTGCCTGAGGTAGATGGGGTTCACACTGAAGGTCTGCTGCAGCTTGTGCTTGTCCTTGACCCTGCGGGTTTCCAAATGGGCATTAGTGGCTGAGGCATCCCCAGAGAAGGTGAGGCTCTCTCGCGGGTTGGGGACTTGGCTGCCACACTCACCAGAACCCAGTACAGTCAAAGTGTACCATCATCCACTTGGAAGGATTGAAGGTGAAGGAATCGGCATACTCGATGCCGTTCAGAAAGCCCCGGAACTCGGGGCACAGGAAGGCAGTGCCGGCATAGGCAGCATCGATATGGAGCCACAGACCCTCCCTGGCACCTGAAGAGGCAAAACGTGACCTGGCTGGGAAGTGCAACTGGGGTGGGGGTGGGGGCTGCCACCAGCCAGCGAAAAGGCGTCTCCCACCTGGGCCAGCTGGCTGATGGGCTGCAAGAGAAGAGCTGGGAAAGGCTGTCCTGCTTTGGCTAAATGAGACGTCAAGGCATGTGGAAATGGGGGGGAAGAGTGTCAGCGTGAAGAGTGGGGTGAATGAGGCACCCCCACCTCCTAAAGGGAGAGAGCCTACAGAGCCTCACCCTGGCTCTGTCCCTTCCTAGCCAGAGGTCAGCACCCTCGTGGCCTCAACCTAGAGCTTCCTGGCACAGGAACCAAGTGCCCACTGGCCCACAGAGCAATGTTAATGCATCTAATACAAACATCAGAGAGAGAATGTCCCTTTTTCTTAGTTGGTTTCTTGCTTGGTGATTTCAGACAATCACGTTTGGGTTTCTTTTCTGTCCTTATCTTCCCCATTGTTTCCCCTACCCTACCCTTTTCATTTTCTTAGCCTAGACTAGAAAATATTTCACTATGCCTTATTCCCCCTGTGCTTTTGATACAGCATGTGTTAAGGAGATTTTAACACACAATGTGAGAGAGTGAGAAACCTGAGGCTCTCCCACGGCTGCCTCCCAGGACAGGCTGCAAGGGAGGGCCGCTGTAACCCTTGGTCACCCTGCTGGGGAAAGCAGTGACCTGGCTGCCAGGGAGAAGACACTTGTGACCTCTGGTGGCTCTTCCCATGCTCTCCACATTAACCAAGATAATTCCACAGAGCTGGTTTCAGTTTCTTGCCCTAGGGAACATTCTAGAATTCATTACTTGTCTTTCCAGCCAGACAGGGCAGACACTTACAGATGGGACCCAACTCTGACAGGCAGTCAAATGCACAGACCCCAGTGGTCCCCAGCGTTGCACAGACCTGGAGGAAAACAGAGGAAATGAATGTGGGAAGGTGGGCTCATGTGACGCATTTGGCCTGGAAGAAAATTTAATCACAGATATTGTCTACCCCACCCATCCCACTAGAACAATGTGTACCTCACACCATATTTTACCATGACCCACAGAAATACATTTTATATGGTAACCTAGTACGTACATGTATACATGTGTATTTGAAATAAACGTTTCACCAAACAATACATACTCTGGCTACAGGAATGCACTCTGATATTTTTTATCCCATTTCTTCTTTGTTTTTTAAAGCTGGTTTTGACCCCCAAAATCTATTTCCTTACACACCAATGAATAGCAACTCATAAATTGTAAATGTAAAGCATTATGTTTTAAGGACCTTTCTGCTTTTGTTTGCAGCATGTTACTTACCTGAATTCTGCCAAAGCCCCTTCCTCCCCTCCAAGTTCTACCATCCTAAACCCAGAACACATTCCAACTTACAAAGACAGGCACCAAGCCTCGCTGCTTGTCCTCCTCGATGGCTTTCTGAAGAGCTTCCCCTCTGAGTGAGAAGTTGTCATCCACGGGCAGAAACTTCATCTTCACCAGAGAAATCAAACCAGCCTTTTCTACTGAGGAGTGAGCCTAGCAGGACCATGGAAACCTATTAGCAGAGTCATCCTGGGACGAGCACACCCCAGACATTGCGGAATCCAGACTAAGGGAATCGAATACGACATTTGACATTTGTCTGTCCCTACTACAGCTCCTGGAGACAATCTCTCAGGCTTGCGCTGCCCTGAACCCCCGCATACTCAGGTCTAGAAGAAAATGACTCAAGGGCTGACTCCAGAAGCCAAGCACTGACCTGACGGTGTGGCCTGTGGTGGGCAACTCACCTGCTCAGAGGCATAGGCAACGAGCCGTGCATTCAGGAAGGACTCATCTGCCCCTGGCTCAGACGCTTTCATTTCCAGGATTTTGTTCTTTCTTGCTGCCAGCAAGGCGATCAAGGTGGACTCACTTACTGTGCTCTGTAGTGGAAAAAGGATTACCAGTGGCAGGCTTTCCCTGTGTTCTCCTGCCAGATTCCCCCAAGGATGTGTGTGTGTGTGTATGTGTGTGTGTGTGTGTGTGTGTGTGTGTG